TTTTATGATGAGGTTAAACTACATGCTAAATGGAGTCTGTTTTAAAATCATAATGGTTGACTTTGTGCTTTCCTAATTTAAATTATAATTCATGTTTTGTGACTCAAGGTGAAAAATGTGGCTCAAGGGGAAAACCAACCAATGCCACAGGTAGATAATAGTACATACATGATACATTAGACCCTTGACCATGAACGATTTCATAACTACACGAACATTTCATTTGGTAAAAAATATGTGATATAATGGAATATTTTTAGTTCTTTTTTTGGTGCGAGTGTGTTCATCGAACACGAATGAGCTCCAGCAATGGAACGAGGTTTCATAGAGAATGAAGGCTGAGAAAGAAAACATCACTTCATGTAAAGGAAAAAAAAGAAGTGATTTTGTATTTGCTTACTTAATCAAATATATAAATCTTCATTTGATCTTTGAATTGTCTAAGATGTTTTGTTCTGAGACCTTTCAATTATTTTCTTTCACCGGGATGATCAAACTTAACTGAACACTCCATAATTAACCGATTTTTTCACTTAAACTATATCGAATTAAACCTTTATTTTTATTTGGCGACATTACATACAAATTGAATTTTTACATATGTAAAATGAATCGAACCATAGTTTTATTCAGTTATTAGGGTTTACCAAGACTTTGTCTAAGTGATTAATCTTGAATAATAAAAGCATTGGGAGAACTCAAATACTCCTGAATTTACTAAAATCTTAAATTCTTTTTAATACTTTACGTGCATTAGTGAGGGTTTAGATTCACATAATATGGTTTAGTACCCTCTAATTTGCTAAAAACTATAAAGGGTATACTTAATTATAATTCAAAATAAAATAAAAGTCATTCATTTAAAATCTATATTCAATCACAAAAAATTATTATAAATCCATGTTTATGTGTATATATTTGACAACATTACATACGACTTTAATTTTTCCATAATCGAACTGAACCGAATCAAAGTTTTCTTCGGTTTCTTTCATTTAGTTTTGATATAATATTTCTAACCCGAAAAAAAAAATCTAACGTCTTTTAGATTATATATGGGTTCTCTCAAATTTATTTGAGCTCACCAAACTCAAAAATTTTGCGTTAGTATGTTAAACTTTTTAACTAAAAAATCAAATAAATAACAAAAATTGAAAATGATGATTTTCAAATTTCAATAATTAATGTTTGATTTATAAAGTTGTACATTTATAACAAAAGCGCAACTTTAATTAGAGTAATATG